CGGATCCCACTCAGGCTGTGAGGCAGCCAAAGATGTAAGCACGCGTGATATGGATACGGAGATGACGAGGGCGGTAACCACAGTGCATTTATCAACGGCAATAGAGGAAATGGAAACAAAGAATTAGCCAAAATACTGTGACGCATTCACCTTCCCAGAAGAACAGCTTCAGGCTGGTTCTCAAGACTTATGCAAATCGGATCACGTTATCACGAGGCGCGAGTTCAGTTTGACAACCTCCACACATGCCGTGGTTCCCAAGACCCCAGCAATTCGGACCACGATATTACGAGGCGCGAGTTCAGTTTGCCGACCTCTGCACACGCCGTGGTTCTCAAGACCCACGCAATTCGGACCACGGTATTCCGAGGCACGAGTTCAATTTGCCGACCTTTGCACACGCCGTGGTTCTCAAGACCCACGCAATTCGGACCACGATATTACGAGGTGCGTGTTCAGTTTGCCGACCTCTGCACACGCCGTGGTTCTCAAGACCCACGCAAATCGGAACACGTTATTACGAGGTGTGAGTTCAGTTTGCCGACCTCTGCACACGCCGTGGTTCTCAAGACCCACGCAATTCGGACCACGGTATTACGAGGCGCGAGTTCAGTTTGCCGGCATTTGCACACGCCGTGGTTCTCAAGACCCACGCAATTCGGACCACGATATTACGAGGCGCGAGTTCAGTTTGCCGACCTCTGCACACGCCGTGGTTCTCAAGACCCACGCAATTCGGACCACGATATTACGAGGCGCGAGTTCAGTTTGCCGACCTCTGCACACGCCGTCGCTGCACGTTCGCGCCAGAAGGGGTTAAGCCCCGCAGCGATGGTCTGCCTCACATCTGCCATGTGAACGGGCTTCGACCACTCGGAGAACACACTAATTCAACTCATAATGAGGCCAGTAGCGTGCGTCTTCGAACTGCTCCCTGGGTAGCAGTAACTGAGTTTGCAACAGAGCGGTCTGGCCGACCTGGAGGGCGATGACCCGGTCGCTGGCGAGGTGTTCTGAGTCTTCCCTTCCCCCCCCCCCCCCCCGCCCCCTGCGGCACACCGTCACCCGGTTAGTAAAAGTTTCGTCACGCACGCGCTAGCCGGCCGAAACACGCACCCACGGTCCGCCGCGCTGCATCGAGCAGTTTTGTGGTCACACTTGAACTCCCCGCGTCCGCCACGTGGACCACGAGGTACTGGGAGGCGACGTAACGCGCCAACGCGTATGTGCGAATCCAATTTGATATAGCTTATCCCTCACACGTTTGCCTGTGCAGACAAGTTCAAAAGGATATCTTGCTCAAGTGCCTCCGTCTACATCAGCTGCATCCAGCTCCTCTTTTGCCATTTACGTACCTGTATTGTGCAAACTGCTTCATCATATGTCATCTGAACTGCCCAATTATTTCAGATCTAAACCGTGACCTAAGCATGAAATCGGAATGCAAGATAGAAGTTTAAAGCTTCGAGTAGCTATCGAAATATAATTGTTCCCGGTTTCAATTGCACTTTTTACGCTTCCATACAGCGACAAAAAAGCCAAGCTGCTAGTTGCTACGCAGTATCCTCAGGTGAGAAACCGACAAAAGTCCGCTTTATGCATCTTTGCATGCATAACACATTGCATTCCCAGCCCACAGCCTTCGGAATAAGTATTGGAAGTCTCTCTTTTAGCCCCCCCCCCCCCCCCCTCTTCATGTCGGCTGAACAGATGACAATCTCTCCACTAATGCTGACATGGAGAGCACGAGAAACTAGTCAAGGTGATACGATGGAGAAACTTGGCCAGTCTAGCTCGCAAACGCACAGCACAACTCAAAACACGCACAGGACAGGGATAAAACACAAGAACGAAGCTGTCTGGAGATCTGAGACGCTCACCAGGAACACACTCAGCGAAAGAGGCCGCCCGCCTGGATGTGCGAAACAGCCCCCACAAGCGGCGAGGTGGGCTGGTGGCGGCATGCAGCCTGGGGCACCTGACCCGCTCACCTGGGGCGCCGAGAACGGGTGGCCGGGACGGAGGCCGGGCACCTCGGCCGCGTGCTGCTGCTGCTGCTGCTGCTGGTAGTGCAGCGGCGCCGGCTGGCCATAGCCGGGGTAGTGCTGCAGCATGCGTGGCGGGTAGCCGGCCGACGCGTAGCGGGGCGGCTGACCGGCCTGCGGGCGCGCCTCCAGCTTAGCCAGGACGGGCAATACACGCTATCGCATGGAGCAAACGTGCGCAGAATGTACACATGTGGCAGATGTACACAACTTATGGCATTTCAAACCCCACCTGCTTCACTTAAGCACTAATGGATCTACACTGACCCACCAAGAGGCTTTGCCATGACTCCAAGACCATGTTAAGCCCCAAAGTTTTCTGGTAGTGTGTCACCTCTTGACCCAAATACAGATCTGACACTGAGGACCTGAAAGCAGAATATTGGTGAACTGGCCAGCACAGATGCTGACAATACTTTGGTACTGTAAAGGTATTCCTTAGCATCTTCTGTACAGACAACTGTGTGGACATCATCAACAGACATCCACCCACAGCTCAATGGCCTTACATAATGGTGAGAGATTTTCCCCAATCTGTTCCATGTGACACTCCCAAATTGGTCATCAGTGAACACCGCACTGCTTAGCAGTCAAATGCAAAAAGCACCATGTCACTACACTGATTCATGTCATAGTGGGACATTGTTTACAGAAGCAATCCTGTTCATGAACTACTGTGCATCAAAGAAGGACCACTTCAATAAAGATGGCCAGCCCAAGCAGAGGATGCAGTGAGAGATCACCGAGGCCATGAATGATATATGGCTCTTCTCATGATTGGTGTATGAGATGCTTTAGTTGTCCTTACTTCTCAGATGTCATCAGGGAAAACAGAGTGTTCCACATTCATATGGGGTGCCGAGCTGAAAAATCACCTTGAAGACCATTTCATGCCATTCACAACCTTGTCCTTAAGCCCCTTTTGTTTCTGAGTTAAGAGGACATTAAGGTAGGAAAGGTATATTGGGGAGAGTATTTTGGTCACCTTGGCATTCATGTCACAAAACACCACTCAAATCCTGACATTCCATAAGTCATGCAGTGATCAGATTTCCACATACAACAGGCAGCAATAGGCTCTCAATCAATGTTGTGCAAAGCATGATGATGTAATCAGTGACACAATGAGGAGTATGTTTACTAGACAGAGTATTGTGCTGTTTAGAGCAGTCTTTTCCACTTTGTTTTCACTTCCTTTCTTTTTCTTTTTTTCTTTTTTTTTCTTTCACTTTCACTTTCCACTTCCACTTTCTTATCTCTTCAAATGTAAAATACTATCTTTAGTAGATTGAATGGGGATAAATCCTCCCTCCTGTCTATGCCAACAATGATATGAGTATTCAGTTCTTAAAGATCCTGATCATCATGTATGCATGTTTGTGCATAAGTGATGGCACTTCTACCCACTAACATGCATGCTATAGCTACGATATGTCCTGCCTTAAACACGACAAATGGTGACAAATGGTTTACTTTGGTCCCCCACATTTTGTAGAGTGCTTGGTAAGCAGAAATATTGTATTTACGCAACGGCAACACCGAGACGGCGCTGGGGAGTCCAGGCGGTGCGGTGCGCGCGGCGTTCGGGGGCCCGCCATCGAAGTTATTGAAATTTGAAGGTAGGAGCATGATTCTACCCGTTTTGAGATTATTTACGATATGTCCTGCCTTAAACACGACGAATGGTGCACAATGATTTTTTCTAACATTAGGTAGGAAAGTACACCCTGACTATTATTATACCAAAATCATAGCCAATAATCTGGTGATAGCATGCAGTTCAAAGAATATGGCTAAAACAACAAATATTTAGATACATTCTTGCCAACTTAGCTAACTAAACAAAAGGATCCTTTGATATGCAAATAGCAAACTGAACCTAGACCAGATTATGCCTTCCATTAGTGATGGAAAAATTATTATCTGAGCTTTAGGGTGCACAGCCTACATTGGTCACATGACAGAACATCCTGAACTGCAACATCATGTGCCATTGCATGGAAGCACAACATTCAAAACACCCACATACATGATGAGCTAACCAAGGAGCATACTCACCATGCCCAAGTTTCGTGCAGGCTGAGGTTGGGAATTTGAGATATCTGCAACAGCTTTTGAAGCAGCAAAGCTCTGAATTGATGATCCATTTGCAGCCTTGCCATTTCCATTTGCAAAAACTCCCACTAGCTGCTCTTTTTCACCAGCAGGATGTGAGTTGGTATGCACTTGAGGCGAAAGGTCGGTTTCAGCCCGTGTTGCAGACATATTGACGACGCGCCACGTCGTTTCATAAAGGTCTCTAAGGCGCACCTTCACGAGTCACCGCGGATCACTAACAACTCACCAATCTATCATACACGCTTTTAAAAAATCAGCTTCGCAAAAGAGGACGCAAACCGCCCTTAGTTTCCACCTCAAAACCACCCCAGCGTCCAATCCCACCCCACGACATTGCTATTTCGATTTCGCCTCAAAATCTTAGCATTTCGCATAACGCTGAGTTCGTCACAACGGTTACCTAGCGCATGGTTCGCCGCAATTTTTCAGCACTAGGCACCTAAATGCTCAAGAAAAGTTTTTTGTTTCGGTTCAAAGAAATCTTAATTGAGAAGACCCTATGAATAATTTTAATTATTCTCTGTGTTATCAGACAATTTTGTGCCTATGGGTAAGAAAAAGCGGAATCTCTTAATTAGACCTGTTCGAATTCTTCCCCTAGACCCTCTATAGCGTCAAAATGCCGCACTCTTTGCGCATGGTTTGTACCGGCAGCCAATCACCTGACACATTTTAGGTCTGTGCTATCAGGCCACCGTAATTCGGAAGCATAGCACCACACAGTAGGTATTTTCAAACAGTCCGTTCCAGCACTATTGATAGCTGAATATGATCATGAGTCCTGCAGCCGTTGCACCATTTCGTGTATTTGCGGGTGGGATTATGTGGGCTGCTGCGCAGTCGATGTTGGGCTAATGGGCAAGGTACATATTGGATTGATCAAATATAAACGAATGGTACATGAAGTATAAACACTGGACATGGCCAGCATATGGTGGCAACAATCTTAGGGCATGTACATTGTAAATACAAGTACTTTGTGTGATGCAAAGCCTCCACCAATTTCAGCTTATGGAGAGTTTATTGTCAAAGGGATGATCCTGCAAAGGTTGTTTCAGTTAAAGGTAGATCAAAAACAATGCATGCAAATTTGAAAATTTGAACACCTTGTTCTGGCTTGAGTTTGTTGCACATGAGCTCAAGGTTCAACAGTGATACATAGGTGTCTGTAATCAGTAGACTTTCAGGTAGAGTAACTCCTCAAGGTAGAGTGAGATGTCACACCAGGAATTTCTGTCTGTTTTTCATCAACCTGTTCCAATTGTTATGTTTAGCATCAAATCCTACTTAACAAGATCATGGACATCTGCCATGTTTCACAAGACTGGCCAGGGCATTGGAAATGCTACAGTTGGTTTCCCTATGCATATTGTGTACTATATGATGTACAAAGTGTTGATGGTATGCATGTGTGCATGTATCATGCAGAGCAGTGCTTGTAATGGAAATTGAATATCACTAGTCATTGCATTTTTGGAGTGCTTACCATTTAGACACTGTAGTTGATGCAACTCTAAAACCCCAATCATTATTGTCACAATGGATCAGAGGATTGCAAGGACCACAAGCCCTGTGATATGTGGGGTAGATATGGCACACATAGGTACATCATGTTTATGATCAAAGCACAGCTATTTAACAGCAGAGTTTTCAGGTAATGCTTTGGTATGTGTCTACCACCAAATCAATAACTGATGGTTCAAGAGAAAAGATAATACTTTGGTGGTTCATGAGGCCGTACAAAAACAGGTGCCCAAGGGTGAAATAGGAGAACCATTAACTGTGGTAACAAAGGGTGTGATAGTCCCTAATGGTTGCAAAGGCTTAACAAAATCATGTAGACATCAGAGCTAGGCACATCACAACCAATTTTCTCAGGGAGTGAGTAAAAATTGCAATCGTTCCAAAATTCTGTGGATTTGGACAGTCTTGCAAAATCACCCTGTACCCAGAAATAGCTTTAGACCTGACTGGAGGGTGTAGATAGTGCAGTGCTTAAGATGTCTGTGTTAACCACCACCTGTCTGGGAAACCAGAGGTACCAGGTGTGATTCCCTAGGTGTATGCCATTGGTGATAGAGACAGATGATGACAGGTGATGACATATAGCCTCAGCAGCAGAGCATGTCACTAAGTTCTATTGATGATAATACTTAACTTAACTTGGTGCTTGATACTTGACATACCCCACATTGGCCCATTGGCCCTTACTTTGTCTACATCTCTACCCATTGCTGGCAACACTGCAGTCATCTGCATATTTCTGTGGTGTTTCTTTGATCAACCCATCTATGTCTCCACCCTGCTGGTTTTTCTCAGAGGATTAGGACTATGACTACTGTCTTATTTCTGTGATGTATGTACACTGCTGTTGGTTGCCTGTACTCCAGGGGCCTTGACACAACATTATCAGATCTTAAAACCAGCCATGTATAGCCAATTGGGGTTAAATATGAGTTTTGAGGATCTTAAAGTTGTGCTCCTTTGCAGCTGGCTTCTTCTTCAGAAATAGCCATCTAGTTGTCAGCCAGGAGATGTTGCTACTGTAGGGGCCTGGGAACATGCATTATCACTACCATCTAAAAAGACACTCATTTACCTGCATGGTGGCCTGGTAGTCCTCACACCTGGATGGACTGAGCTCTTCCTTGGGTTGCCAGATGTGCTGACTGACCCGGCCCACAGGCATTAGTGATGCATATTTCAGACAGCTGAGGCAGTCCATGGCCTGCATCGCTGGCATATAGCATTGTCATATACTAAAATATTAACCTTGGTCCCAGACAGGATTTATGTCCTTTAATGCAGGGTACTGAGATCTTTGATATTTTGACAAGATATTGCACCCTTTTTTAACAAATTATTTGTAGAAGAATGGAAAGTGCCTGTCCAACAGGTCATAGATCTCTGATATGTGTATTTTTGTTTGATCTAATGGGATGTGTATATATATATATATATATATATATATATATACTGCTGTTGCTGTCTGGTATCTAAATGTACCTCTGGTATAATCTAAATGGTAACATATATATACTACTGTATACTGCTGTATATATATATATATATATATATATATATATATATATATATATATATATATATATATATATGTAAATATATATATGTGTATATATGAATGTGACCACATCATGTATATATGTGTATCCACAACATACATTATCACATACACTATGATTGTTTAACACACTTACATAAAGTGACAAAAAATACCAGCAAATATGAAGTCATGTTATTTAGTGCTGGACATTTCTTAGATATATTATGTAAAGACTAAGATTCTCAACTGAAGTGCAGAATGTTCCATGCCCAAGAAGGAAGTCAAAACTAGAGTGTCATGTATAGCCGAATGTCCTCATATGAGAAGGGTTTAGGTTTTGGGAAACACTTTCCCATCTGGATAGATTTACCCAAATGTGTCTGAATGCGATTGACCAAAGCCCGAAGTATGGAACCTACGTAAGATGACCCACACGAGGCCCGAGAACATCACAACTGATAAAAACATTGTCATTTCAAAGCCAGTCCAGGGTAGAGGTGTGCTTCTAGGTTTGGATTTTGGTCGTGCGTAGAAAAGATGACAACGATAGTGACTGGCGTTTCAAAGTTAACGGACGGTCGCGATCCCGTGCTCGAAGCCGTACGTTACGTAGAAGATGGAATTAATTGGTTTTGTCAAATATAGAATCAATGGGTTTTATCCGAATGTAAATCTCAAGGTATCTAAACAGATCTAACACACGCATCTGGTGCCCTCTAGAAGCTCCCACGGTATTCTGCATGGTTTGCTGAAAATTCACAAGGGCCTCCTCGCTCTTCGATCTAGTTTCTGTGCTTGTGGTGCTCCGGCCTAAAGCGTTGTTAACTTGATAGTTCCTGTACTTTGCCCTTTCTAAAAAATATGAGCACTTAAAGAATCCACTGGAATTTGCGGAGTAAGTCGCAGGAGCACAAGTAGGTGGTGGTAATCTGGATGGTGGATGGTGGTAATGGTAGATGTTGGTAGATGGTGATGGTGGTAAGATGATTATCTCTTCATGGCCAGCTTCGATGTAGTCGTTGTCTTCGCCAGCATTCCCTTGCAAGAGATGATCAAAATTTGTGTGAGTCTCGTTTTAGACAGCCACTTGGGTGATAGGACAACAGTTAAATTTTACAGTTATCTCCTTGTGCTTGTTGTGATGGATCCTTCCTTCTTCTTCATTGGCATGTTTTGTAGGTGGAAGGAATGAGTGGATAGGGGTCTGCGTTTGGGCCTATGTTCGCCCATATTTTTATGCGTCATTATGGAAAGCTCTGGCTTAGTTTATGTACAGCCAGTCCCTCCTGTACTTTGCTGTTGGCATGTTGAAGAATGTTTTCTTCCCTTTAAGAAAAGTTCTCACGCATCTTTATCCCTTCGATATTTAACCCATTAGCATTCAAACACCATATTTCCCTTGACCCCTTCCCTTTTAACTTTTTAACCTTTGACGTCGGACCTGTGACATTACGAAAGGTAGTTTGTTTTACCGCACTTTGGCGCAGGTTATGAAGACCCCAAACATTGAGTTGATCAGCCTCTTATGAAAATGCCATCCATTTTAAGATCCTATGATTATTTTGGTGGATTGCCTCTTAATAAGTTGCTTGCTCAAACAGAATCAACGACCCAAATGTTGCCAATCAACTGTTGTGTACGAGTTTTGTTGTGCCTCGTATGGGGCATCTTGCCTGGGTTTCAGTGTTCGCAAATGGCGGTCGCATTCAGCAGCGTTTGTCGAATTATATATGCACGGGAACATTTCTTGCAAAACCTGATCCTACAAGTATCTTAGGCAAGACATATACCGTGCCTGATTTGGGAATATTAGTCTTGATGTTTAAAAAAAAAAACGTCGTATGCTAAACATGGTTTCATCCTATTCATTGGATATTGTCATAATAGGAGATGTGTGTAACTTCGAAGGTGGATTGTGTGTCATTGCTTGTGCTAGTGTGACATTTTCATTTTGTTTGTGTAGTTTGCATGCCCCTGTGCACGTGTGCACAGGCACCCAGAATGCTTGTCGTCTGTTGTTTGGCAGGCATCGTATAAGAGACTGGGTTTCTGTGCAGTCTTGTTGGATCCATTTTTCGAGTTTCATGTTCAGCAACGTGTAATACGATACAAATAAGAGTGCTGCAATTACAGCATTGTGGATACTTTAAGGAAATTCGAAGCCAACAAAATGAGCCATGGTTTTATACCAACCTGACATGTGCATATTGCGGATCTTTTAGAAGAATAATACTCGCGATGTTCGGAGTTCTTTGCGAGACTTTTGCACAGCAATTATGCAATATTTTGCGATACGCAATAGACAATGGAGTTAAATCATATTTGGTAAAACGGGCGCAGTCGCCTCTTTATACGTGATCTATGTACGCGACCCAAATTTGGCCCAGTCCCAGTGGCTCTGTCCCGACTTACGCAGCTTTATATACCTTCCATTGGCCTCGCGTTAGCAATGCACCCTTAAAGGCAAATCATGTGTGCGTGCTCAGACTCCAATATTAAGTTGCCACCTATTTGGTGTTCTTTGGTTGGGTGTTAACTGCTTCTGTTTTCTCAGGTCACACAGCACTTCTAGAAGATGTCGAACAGAGGAGGCTCGGATCCGAGGGCTGAGTTAGCGGAGCTGGTTAAAAAGAGAGCCGATATTTCGGTAAGCAGTGACGTGGTTATGAAAGCTTTCTGAATGCACCATAATTTGTTTTGCATTATTGCTTTAATGGAACAGTCTCTGAATCTCTGAAGTACGGAAGGCCCAGTGCAGCACATCCATTCGATTCCTGTTGAGCTGCTTTTAATGCCAGGTGTGTCTGCCATAGCAGTCCACCTGTCCGACTTCCAAGAGCGTTTGGACTTGCCCATTGCAACCAATGCTTCAGTGACCTTTATGTGCATTGTGTTTGTCCAACAGTGGATGAACATAACTTCAGCATGACCCACTGTTGGGTTCCACGTTACATGTGGTAAATAGATTGAGCACCACCACAGTTCAGGTCCAGATCCAGTACAAACCATTTCACATTATAGCATTCCTGGGTAAACTGGCACTACTGCACTTCATTGATCCAGTCCACTCCAAAGCAAACACTGGCATCATGCGCACGTGCTCGCCTACTACGGGCAGCACGCACACTACGCGCGCACCACAGGGTGGGCAGATCCCTGCCACGGCTAACCCTGCATTCCACCACGCAGGAGACATTGGCTAATCTGGAGAGGCAGATCTACCTGTTCGAGGGTAGCTACCTGGAGGACACACAGCTGTATGGCAACATCATCCGCGGCTGGGACCGCTACCTCTCCGTCAACAAGAACAGTACCAGCAAGCAGGACAAACGCAACAGGAAGTTCAAGGATGCTGAGCGCCTGTTCTCCAAATCATCCATCACGTCGATCGCGGTCAGTGGATGGCAGGGAGTTCTGACATGACATCGGTGGGATTACTTGCAAGCGGAGGGCGCGTCACAAATTTATCTTTTCGTGAGAGTTGTTATGGTGATAACTTTGTGAATAAGGTAAATTTTGCGACTTATCTCCAGGAGTAGTCGAATATCTCCTCGTGTGTGACAGTCGGTGTCCTTGTCATGGGGGTGGCGTGATCGGTGCAGATTCTCGCGAACTGTTTTGTGCTGCATTGTCAAGCATGCCTTTCCGGTTGATAGACGGTCCCCACAGAAGGCACGCATGAAGCGTAACCTCGCTTCACCCGAGTTAATGGATCATACACATGGTGTGTTTCGAGATAGCTCGAGTGCTGGCTGTAGATCACGTCTTAACGCGGCTAACGAGCCATTCGTTTATCTTGTTTTGCTGTTGCCTGCCGAGCCTACAGAAGCGACGAGTGGCCACTCCTTCACGCTATGAATGGTGGCGAAAAAAGACACGAGGCTGGCGATGATCAAGTTGCCTTATTACCATATGACAGCAACATTGAATTAAATCTAAGCATAGTGGCGCTCGATTTTATCAAATAGTTTTTCTACGTCAACATTCACAAGTTACGCAGGAGTGTGCATAGTGTACTCATTGACAACAATCACCGCTTGGCGTCGCTAGCGTCGCAGGGCGCACCTTTGGTGGCATCGTGTTTGATAGGAACGCTTTTACTGAGGCCTCCACCAACATAGTGGTGTTCTACTGCAATGGCAAGATGGTTTCGCCAACTTTTAACGTGACTGTTGACACGTCCCAGTGACCAATGACCCCGACGCTTTTCTGTCTGCTTGTTTTCTCCGTGGTATGAGATGGTCCATTAAGTCGCGGACAGTTAGCTCCATACGAATGCCACGGCAGATGTTCTCGCCAGGGTTGTCGGACTCTGTAACTGCAACTGTGGTGTTTGCCACAACCTCTGCTTGACTGATGCTGAACGTTTCACGTTTCCACTAATTCGTAAATACTTGTTCCGTGTTAAATTTTGCACCTTGTTTTGTCAACCATTGCTGACCGCCTTTCGACGCAAGATTCGGGAATGGTTCCCGGGTTCAGCCTGTGGCACCACCACCGTTCTTTTCATGTGTTAGCTCGGTCCTGTCACCGCCCGTTGCCAGGCGGCGAACGTGTGTGACGTTGGTGCTGTTTCCAGGCGGTGAACGGCAGTGTGGAGCACAGCCACCACTCCTGTGAGTATGACGCAAAGCACCGAATCCGATGTGCAGCGCCATCTGCCCCAACATCGGTCACCGTATTATTCCTCAGGCTGGCGGTTTGTGACTTGTTTCGTTTGGCTGCCTGATTTGCACAGCTTCTATCACATGCCAGTGACTTCATGCTATATGGTTGATCATCATACCCAAATGGTGTTGACTCTAGTTCGCCAGCTAAATGAGTCTCGGGTTGGTATGCCGGCTGTTTTTCTCACCCTCCCGTCTCCATCCCTGCTCTGAGAGCCTCCCCGCGCATGCGCGTCTGACGGCCGTGCCGCCGTCTCGCAGACCGTGGCACCGACACCGACTCGCAGGGCAACCACAGCGGCTCCGAGGAGGTGAACGGCTCCGTGGACGGCGTCAGCGACCTCAGCGAGCGCGACCTCTTCCGCGCCAAGAAGAACCGGCTCAAAAAAGTCAGCAAGAAGGTGGCGCGCCACCGGTGAGCATGCGCGCGCGGCCGGCGGCGCTGGCACCTTCGGCTGGCGGCGCTGGCGCCTGCGGCCGGCGGCCGGGTCAAGTCGCTGGAGAGGCCGGCGGCACCTGCCGCGCGGCCCAGATAGCGCTGGCACCTGCGGCTGGCGGCGCTGGTACCTGCGGCCGGCGGCGCTGGTACCTGCGGCTGGCGGCGCTGGCACCTGCGGCCAGCGGCGCTGCGCCTGCGGCTGGCGGCCGGGCCGTGCCGCTGGAGAGGCCGACGGCGCCGGTTCTGAGTCAGAGCTGATGGCTGAGGACGGCGGCTGACGTGGTAACGGGCACCACTGCGGCGTGATGCGCGTTGCGCGAGTGCAGGCACCGCAGCCTGAGAGTGAGTAGTGATGCACCGGCTCAGCATGCGCGCGGTGCTGGTCGCGGACGGCCCGCGCTCGCCGACCCGATTTGAATGGAGCGTCCATGGAGTCGTAAGAGTTCACTACGGCCGCGTGTCGTGTGGCTCGCGGGCCCGCATCTCACTCCAGTCATCTCTTAGATGTGACTCGTTCAAGGAGGCATGGCTCGTATGCACTGTATACTAAGGCGGACGCCAGTTGCCTCGTTTCCGACAAATATACCTGTGGATCGATAGGTGCTCGATCGATGCTGCCGGCCGGCAGTTGGCCGTTGTCGGCTGGTTCCAGATGGCAAGGGTCGATCCATGGCGACCCGTCATTGTCACCGCGCACCACCAGGCACCGTGCGCGTGTCTGCGCCAAAGCCGTGAAGCCGACCGAGGGGTCTTGTGAGCGGCAACATTAATCAGAGCACCGGGGCGGCCTGACAACAAATTGCTTGCGGCACAAGATTGTCGTACTTTTGAATTTGCGCCATAACGCGCGTGGGTAACGTCTGACTGGAAGTGTGAGCCACAAGCTCGCACTCATCCTCTGCATTCGACGTCCCTCGCTCACTTGCACTGTTTTGGATGGGCAGCGACTTGGGCAGAGGCCAGCGTCACAAGGGTCTAGCCCCGTCGTCTAGCCCCGTCGTCTAGCCAGCGTTTAGCCAGCGTCTAGCCCCGTCGTACTGGTTCGACCACTGACGCATGTTAAGCATGCTGCCTTGAGGAAGCAGGCATGCTGCAGTGAAGAAGGCCGGTATGAGGCGGTTTGAACTGGCTCGAAACTCTCGCCGCCGCAGTGTTCCTTCCGGGCGGTCTCCGTCGCAGTGTGCGTCGTGTTGGATGCGCGTGACCGGCACAAGCCTTGCGGCTTTTCTCTGCAGAGGTATCTTCAGCTGGCTGTCAGGACTCACGGCGAAGGGAAACAGTGGGACAGTTTGAATGTTATGTATCGCCATGGCGAAACACAAACATAATTTAAGTGTCTAAACCACCGTGGAGCATAATAGAGAAAATACCCTACTCACAGATAACCAAATCGCATGACGAGATCCAATGATCGCCAACTCACACGGTTATCACAGATGGCAACCAGGTTACAGACGCGCGCACAATACGCGATCTGAGCGGAAACCAATATGAATTCTTGCCGCCAACATCACCTATAAATGGACCACAAAACAACCTAAAACACACCAAAAACATAATAATAGCCACTCGTAGACCCCGATCGTCTCCGGCGTCACAAATACTGCATCGGACAGCGTGAAAACCACTGCTTTCCGACCATCGCATATTTCGCTGTTGCATACCACTCGGTGCTCGATTATATCACAGTCCGCGCACAACCGTTCTGATAATGGTGACGGCGATCACCGAGAGCAGCACTACATCACCACTTCATCACCGCTTCTTGGCCATGAGCACGAAGTTCCGCGGAGACAGCTTCGGGTCGAAGGCAGGCACCAAGATGCTCGGATGGCCTGAAAAGTCCAGATCTTATGAATATTGACAATTGTTCTGATTGAGTATAAGAAACCTTCAAGGCACTTGGAATGGGCGGTGCTAACGCTCTGCTGCCCACCGATGTGTAGGAAGCAGCTTAATCCGCCGGACAGCGCTGCTGACCCGGCTCGTCTAAGCTGCACGCCCGCCAGGATCGCGATAGTGCGGCCGCACCCAGGTCAATCGGTCTTTAAATAATCAAAACAGCGTTATGCAGCAGCAAACCAGCATCCCGAGTAGAAAAGCGACCACGTCATTTGGTGATCCAAAGTACGGTTCGTGTCCAAGGCATGAAACACGGCATGCGAATCGTTTCGTTCGATTCAAACGCCCGCACTGGCTTGCCGCTGATTATCTGCAGAGCCCTGCGATCGCATCGTATCGCATCAATCGCGTCGAGAGCATCGCATCGCACCGAAGATCCACGACGCGCCATCACCAAACAAGGATCAGAGCGCGCCGACGCGTCTTTGAGAGCGTCCAGCAAGGCGCCGCAACAAGGCGGCGCGAACGCAGCTGTGTGGAAGACGTCCTCGGCTCACCGTGCTCCCAGAGGTACAGCATGCGGTCCAGCAGGATGACAGTCTCGATAACGGGCGCCAGCATCAGCCGCAGGGAGTAGAAGGCCACAACGCGGCGCCACTGGCGCAGGTCGGCCGCCGCTGGCGCCAGATCCAGGCTCTCGGCGGCCACAGGCAGCCGTGCCAACGCGCGCCGAGCGTACCTAGTGCAGAGGCGTGCGTGACCCACGGTAGGGGGGACGGGGAGGAGACGGACGAGCAAGTCTGAAAACGGCCCAGCCCGTCAAACTGTGGGTAGGCGTGCCGTGCAAAAAAGATCTCGTGGCCCTGCGGCCTGGCGGTACACAGTCAGTTACAATCCTTCGCGTCTCGACCTGACGTGCAACTATTGCGATCAGTTGCATCAACTGGCGGCAGAACGCTGCTTTCTACAAAACATTTCAACTGGCTTCTCGTGCTTCCCTGTGGGCACAACCCTGATCGTGGTCCCTTCTGAAGACTGGCACGTCCTCCCTCGACCTAAATGTCGTGCTTCAGTGTTTCCCTGTGGTTCAATCCTGCCAGGCCGGCGTGCGCACATTCCGGCAACAGCCGCGGCATCAGCCGTGTCCTATCACTGTGCGCCCAAGGGTCCCCGTCGGCCAACGCCGCCTCACCCGCACGCCGCCGGTGCGTGGCCTCGCGCCCGTCAGCGTGCACGCCCTTACTCTTCGAAGGGCAGCGTGTGGCCCCTGGTGACGCCGCGCAGGCCAGCGTGCTTCAGCGCCGGGTCCCAGGCCACCAGCGCTCGCTCCAGGGCCGCCCGGTACGCGTGGATCTGACGGGACGAGTCCGAGTCAATCGCTACACCGCCCGGAACGCTGGAGCGCCGGCGCGGCTACCGTGGCGACAGGTGGAACTGACAGAACGCGTCAGCCAGCGTTCCCCACACACTTCGTCATGGAATGACGACCACGCCGTGCTAACGCGCTACAACTCAGCCAGAGCAGTTGCACCCGACTGGTGCGGCCTGTCGCGCGCCGGCCGCTCCGCCGGGCCGGGCGTACCTTGAGGTGCTGCTCGCCTCCGCCGCGCAGCCGCGAGGCGTACTCCTCGATGGCGTGACAGGCGACCTCTCGCGCCTCGTAGCTCATGGCGTACCGCTGCGCTGCAGCCACCGCCGCCACGTGCTCGCTGAGCGGGTAGCCGTGCCACGCGTCCGTCGCCGTCGACAGCTTCATGTAGCAGCAGCCGACAGAGACGACAGCGCCGCAGTGCGGCGACCGGACGAACTGGCGCAGCATCAGCGGCGCCAGGTCGCCGCACGTGTGCAGGCCGAGCGCGGTGAATCGGAGAGACGCGGCCGGCGCACCGGTGAGTCGACACAGCATCTGGCGGTCCAGGGAGATTCGGGGCCATCAGATGTTCCGTGCCCTCTGGCGGTGATCGATTGCGAACATGTCCCCGCTGGGACGACGCAGGCAAGAGAGGAAGCCAATTATCTGGAACTTTTATTGGATGCATTCTGACCTCCTTCCTAGAGGAAGCATGTGAGTGAATGGGCGAAAAATTAAAATGTATGAAGTTGCTTCACGCATAAATGACACATTTCCAGTCCGTAACGATAATGAAGCTATCTGTAATAACTTGACGCCGTGGGGTGCCAGAGATTTAGCAAAAAAACAACTGATTAAGGTAGCATATATGCTTACTGCGCTTCCGATGTTCTGTTTCGTGACTTTTCTAATGATTAAAGGGCTGATATGCTTCTGCTATGACAGAGCCATAATAATAAAACATAGTGACAAATGTGTATATATACACACATTTGTCACTGTTTTATTATTATGGCTCTGTGATAGCAGTATATATATATATATATATATATATATATATATATATATATATATATATATATAGGCCTAACCAGGCCCAGAGTAAAACCACAAGCGACGCAAAATTGCTGCCATCCCTGACGGGGGAAGGGGAACTGTGAGTCCTTTTAATTCAAGCGAGTATGGTCCCGTGTAACAAACCCCACCAGCACTCGATAATCTTGGCAAGGTATCACTGTTGGCTTATCCAGAAATGTTTTGTTACATTTTGCATGCCTTCCCTAAGGTTTGGGAATTTAGTGAGGAAGTGCGCATGCAATCGCCATGCTAAAGCCTGAAAGGTTCTTGACCGTTGCGCGATCCACAACTACCATCGTGCAACGGATAAAACACTGACTGGATGGGAGCAAATAATCGTCCCAAACTTATCGCACGGTTAAAATATGTTTTACACGAGCTGCACTGTCTTCGTAAAGTTTAAGTCGTGGGTTGCATTCCAAAAGGTTTTAAGAACGCAAATCCGACTACTCACGCTTCCTAACTTGAACCTTATGAGAATGAAAGTGGTGAGCATCAAGAGATCACGTGCGTCCATCTTTTGTTAACATTTTTGTATTGCAGTTGGCCAACGGCCCGACGCAAACCAAAGCTTCATAGTAAAAAGGCAGGCATACCATGCATCAGTATAACTGGTGTTCTAACGTGCGTGTACTTCAACACCTAGCCTAAAATGTAGTCCATCGTAACACGTAAGAACTGAACTAGCTAATTCCAAAAAGCAAATGTCACATTGAGCCGCCGCGCGAAGCTTTGCTAAGCGCGAGCAGAGATCGGCAGACATGACGCTCCCCATTAAAAGGGAGTCGACTGTGACCAGCGTGGCTCCGGACAAGAGCCACTCGCGGGCCTCGACAATAGATATACATTCGACTTCAAGCACGCCAGCGCCCCAGAATGCGACGTCAAGGACAGCCAGCGTTGCTGCTGCTCAGTCTGGTTCAAACGCCATGGTGCTCCCTGCGAACAGGTCCAGAATGCAGAGTCTTTGTGTCGAAACATCTGCGATGGCCAATGCACTTTCCGCAGCTTCGTCATCAGCTGTCGGCAAATGTCGAGCGATCAGCGTCGGAGGACCGGCCCGGAACCGGTCCATGTCCCTGGCACAAGCCCAGGAGAGTGCCAAAGAAAAGCAGCTGCGTGCCAAGGAGGCTAGAGAAGATAGAAAGTCGAGACTGGATCTTACGCATCGGCACATCATCGAGGTAAACGCGATGCTGCTCGGCTTGCAGGAAATCCAAGTTGAAGAGCATATTTTGGACTGTGTTGACAGCGTAGACATAATCGACGAACTGTTCGCCAAGAACGGCAGCAAGGTGTTGATGATGTACTACCAGGACGCCGATCCGCCCGGGCCCGAGGCGGGCCGTCTGATCAGTGCAGCAACGAGAGGCACCACCGTGAAGCGGATCATCATTGCCAACGAAACCAACCAACCCGCACAGGGTATCTGCGTCTTCTTCTGCAGAGACAAGAATGACACAGCAATCACCATGAAGAACCTTGGGGACGAGCTGAGGTTTGGAAGCTTCCGTATTACTCAAGACAACGGAGAATTCGAAGGAAGCGTACTCACCGGACTACAACACTATCTGGGAGCCGTATACAACCCTGTGCTACGGGCGTTGAAGAACTGGGGGCAAATAGAAGACAACTCACACCACATCAAGGAATTTATTACCAACATGTCCGGGCTAGAAACGTTTTTGGAAGCCGTTCAGACTAATCTGAATAACCGCGTGGTTCTCAAGCAAAACGACGAGCTAGCTGAGCACTTGGCGACGCCTAAGGAGGTGATCGCCACCGCCGGCAATCCAGAGCTCGTGGAGCAGGCCGAGGAGTTGGTCCTCTCCTGGTGCAAACAAATGGAGACGGTTCTGGTACAGAGCGAGCAGATGCGGAAGGAAGGGGACGACACCGGCCCACTGGCTGAGCTGGAGCACTGGCGGCATCTCACGACCAAGTTCAACGACATGGTGGAGCAAATCAAATCGAAACCTGTGCAAATGGTGCTTCAAGTGCTCATCCAATCCAAGTCTAAAGTGTTCAAAACCTGGAGAGACATTGACATGCGAGTAACTGACGCGGCCAACGAGTCCAGGGATAACCTCAAGTTCCTGCACTCATTGGAGAAGTTTTGTCGCCCGTTGTACGCGTCCAACCCGACCAATATGAGGGAAGCTCTGCCTAGCCTGATCGGAGCCATCCGACTGATCAACACCATATCGAGGTACTACAATACATCCGAGCGCATGACTTCACTCTTCGTCAAGGTTACCAATCAAATGGTCAATTCGTGTAAGAGCTACATCACAGACGACGGCACCAGTGATATCTGGGAGCAGCCATACAAGCCTCTGGTCCAAAAGCTGAGGGTATGCATCAACCTTTACCGAGACTACCAAGCCTTCTTCCACAAAACAAAGCACCGTATCCAAACTACACCTGACGAAAAGCCATTCGAGTTCTCCGAAATGTATATCTTTGGTAAATTCGAGGCGTTCTGTAAGCGGCTGGAGAAGATCATCAATATTCTGGACACAGTGGAGCGCCTCACAGTTCTCACAAAGAGCAGGATTGAAGGCATAGAAGTGCACGGGAAAAAATTCACCGAGGCCTTCAATACCATCAAGAAGAAGACATATGACTTCCTAGATCCCCGCAAGCTGGATTTCGATCAGGATTACGAAGTGTTCCAGAACCAAATATTTCAGCTAGAAAAAGCCCTGCAGGCATTCATGGACAAAAGCTTCAACAGTATCAGCTCGGCGTCTGATGCCTTGAGACTGATGCATCGCTTTGAGCTCTTGAAACTGGACTGTCTGGAGCTAGGAGACAAGTACGCAGTGATCATAGAAAAGTTCACGCAGGAAATCCGCACCCTTCGCCTGCTCTACGACGCGAACAAAGACGATCCCGTCCTAAGTCACAACATGCCGCCAGTAGCCGGAAAAATAGCCTGGGCCAGAAACCTGTACCGCCGCATGCGTGAGATCATGGAGTTCCTGCGCGCGAAGCACCCCGACACGTTGGAAGCGCCCGAGGCACGTTCAACCATACGTCAGTATAATCAGCTGTCTAAGTGCCTTATCAGGTACGAGATCCTCTACCACGAGGCTTGGACGAAGTCAGTAGACGAGGTGAGAAACGGGCTGATGGCACCCATCCTGGTGCGGCACCCCAAGACCAAAGAGCTGATCCCCAACTACGACCCGCTGATCCCGCTGACGATACGGGAGGCGGATTGCATGCGCAAGATGGGCCTCAAAATACCCGTCACCGCCAACGTGCTCAGCTTCCGTAAGGAGAGGATCTTCGATGCGCTGCAGGGCGTGCAAGACATTCTGGAGCGGAGCCAGAGGGTCAACGCAAAGATCCCGGAGCTGTTTGCGCCCATGCTGTCGGTACTGATGCACAAGGTGGACAAGGTGATGCAGCCAGGTCTGATAAGCCTGACATGGACTTCGCTCACGCTGCCCGAGTACTTTGAGTCCGTACACGGCGCCATCGATGAACTGGAGCTGATGATCACGCGGCTGACAGACATCAAGGAGCAGCGCATCGACTCCGTGCTGGACACCATCGCCGGTACCCTGCTGGTGGACCTGCCGGTGCAGGAGCCGTACACCACCGGCGAGTTTCTCAGCAAGCTCGCCGCGCACAGTGAACGCGCCTCGGGATCGCTCGACTTCCTCTCGTTCAAGGTGGAGCACGCGGTGTACGAGCTGGTGGACATCTTCCTGCAGAACGCCGACGTGGGCGACGCCGAGCCGCCGAGCCGCGAGGTCTGGCAGGAGTACATGAGCCTGGCGGCGCGGCGTGAGGCCGAGCGAGACGAGCAGAAACGCAAGTCGATCGCGCTAGGTGAGGACCAAATGCCGTCCGAACTCAGCCTCATGAACCTGGACTCACGGGTAGAGGCGCTGTACGAGACATGTCGTGACCTCTACACGTTCTTCAACACCAAGAACTCGGAGGCGTTGGTGCGCGCCACAAAGTACTCGCTGGATGCCATCAAGAAGAGGGTGTTCCTGCCGACCCGGTCGATGCTGGTGTCGCGTGACGACGAGGACACCGAGGAGCTGGCGCCCACGCCCCCCTTCCTGCTCACTGACATCATCCTGGCCATCCCCAACATCGTGCTCAGCCCCAGCATGGACGACGTGCAGACGGTGATCAACAAAGCGGCGCAGATGGTGCTGGAGGTGAACCGTGGCATTGCGCTCTGGGGCCAGCAGCGTTCTTTCAGCCAACTCAAGATCAGCACCGAGCTGGACGCGGCGGCCAAGGAGGAGGAGGAAGCATCCGAGCCGGCCGCTCCCGCGGCACCCTCCGAGGAGACCGAGCCGCAGAAACCGACAGAGATCCCCCGCGTCAAGCTCCACACGTACTACCGGTCCGTGCGTGAGCACAAGGACACCGGACGCATGGTGATGATGCTGCAGACCGCGCTGTCCGCCATGAAGCAGGAGATCAACAATGTCGTGCAGAATTTCCAGGTGTACAGCTTCCTCTGGGAGAAGGACCGCAACCAAGCGGTGGAGGAGTTCATGGAGACGCAGCCCAGTCTGACCATGTACCGGGCCGAGATATCGAAGTGCCGCGACCTGCGGGACGAGGTGGCCGCGCTGGACGATGCCCACCGCGTCGGCCCGCTGCAGCTCTCCACCGAGCCGCTCAAAATGTCGCTGACGGTCGAGATCGACGCATGGACGCGCGCCTACGCCAGCCAGCTGCACCAGGAGTACAGCATCAAGCTGGACGACGTGACGGAATTCTTCAAGGAAAACTCGCATCAGCTGGCGAAGCCCATCAAGGACCTCGATGACGTCCGAAACGCCATGGAGTGCTTGAAAACGGTGCGGGAGAGACAGATCGAGATCGACATGCTGCTCGGGCCCGTCGAGGAAGCGTACGCGCTGTTCAACAAGTTCGAGATTCCGATTCCAAAGGAGGAAGCCGAGAAGGTGGACGGTCTCCGTTATGCCTTCGAGAAACTCATACAGCAATCGATCGCAGTTCAAGACTACCTCAGCAGCGTCCAGGACAGCAAGCAGAATGACCTAACAACGTCCATTGAAGTGTTTAAAACGGACCTGGCTGAATTCAACGAACAGTACGAATATGCTGGGCCGATGGAAGTAGGTATCCCAGCCCAGGAGGCCAGCGATCGGTTGGCGCTTTTCCAGTCACGTTTCGACGACCTTTGGCACAAGTTTCAGGTGTACACGGCCGGTGAGCGGCTGTTCGGCATGCCCGAATCCGACTACCCAAGTCTACACGTCACCAAGAAGGAGCTCAACCTGCTACAGAAGCTGTACGGCCTATACAACGAGGTGATGAAGAGTGTCAACGGCTACTACGACACGGCCTGGCCCGACATCGACATTGAGCAGATCAACGCCGAGCTGATCGACTTCCAGAACCGCTGCCGCAAGATGCCCAAGGCCCTGCAGACCTGGCCAGCCTACACTGACCTCAAAAAGCGCATTGACGACTTCAACGAGACCTGCCCGCTACTAGAAATGATGGCTAACAAGTCAATGATGGAGCGACACTGGGACAACATCGCTAAGCTAACGAACTGCACCTTCGAACCTGAGTCTGACAGCTTCATGCTCCGAAATGTCATGGAGGCGCCGCTACTGGAGTTCAAGGACGACATCGAGGACATCTGCATTGGAGCCACTAAGGAGAAGGATATTGAGTCCAAGCTGAAGGGGGTCATAGCCGAATGGGCGCTACATGATCTGGCTTGTGCTCAGTTCAAGAACCGCGGAGAGCTCCTGCTGAAGGGACAAGAGACTGCCGAGATCATAGCTTTGATGGAAGACTCATTGATGATCTTGGGATCACTGCTTAGTAACCGTTACAACGCGCCATACAAGAAGCAAATTCAGTTGTGGGTGCAGAATCTGAGCAACACCAGCGAGATCTTGGACAACTGGATGACTGTTCAGAACCTATGGGTGTACCTGGAGGCCGTGTTCGTGGGCGGTGACATCGCCAAACAGCTTCCGAAGGAGGCCAAACGGTTCCAGACCATCGACAAATCGTGGGTAAGGATCATGACCCGCGCACACGACATCACCAACGCTGTCGACTGTTGCGTCGGTGATGAAACTCTCGGTCAACTCCTCCCACACCTGCTTGAGCAGCTGGAGGTTTGTCAGAAGTCCCTCACAGGGTACTTGGAAGGCAAACGTCTCGTGTTCCCCCGCTTCTTCTTCATTTCGGATCCTTCCCTGTTGGAGATCCTTGGCCAGGCATCCGACCCCCACACCATCCAGGCGCATCTGCTCGGGATCTTCGAGAACGTGGCGACGGTCGAGTTCCACGCAAAAGACTACGACAGGATCGTGGCTGTGCTGTCAAGAGAGAAGGAGCGAGTGGAGCTTGAGAAGACCGTCAAGTGCGAGGGTAATGTGGAGGTGTGGCTAGGTCAGTTGCTAAAAGAACAGCAGAGTTCGCTGCACGGCGTCATCCGCGAAGCCTATCAGCAAATCATGGACCCCGACTTTGAGATCATGACGTTCCTGAGCACCTTCCCGGCTCAGGTGGGACTGCTGGGTCTCCAGATCATCTGGACTCGAGACGCAGAGGTGGCTCTCAATAATGCCAAGTTTGACCGCGACATCATGCCAGACACTAACAAAATGTTCCTCACCATTTTGAACCGGTTGATCGACATGACCACACAAGAGCTGACCAAGTTTGAGAGGGTGAAATACGAGACCCTCATCACTATCCACGTCCATCAGCGAGACATATTCGACGGTATGGTGAAGATGCACGTGAAAACTGTTAACGACTTCGAATGGGCCAAGCAGTCGCGCTTCTACTTCGAAGATGACGAGGACGTGTGTCTGGTCAAAATTACGGACATCGACTTTATCTACCAGAACGAGTTCCTGGGCTGCACCGACCGTCTCGTCATCACGCCACTGACCGACAGATGTTACATCACCATCGCACAGGCGGTGGGCATGTCCATGGGGTCTGCTCCCGCCGGCCCGGCCGGCACGGGTAAGACAGAGACAACCAAAGACATGGGCAAAGCTCTTGGAAAGTACGTCGTGGTGTTCAATTGTTCCGACCAGATGGACTTCCGGGGACTGGGACGCATCTACAAGGGTCTCGCCCAGTCCGGCTCCTGGGGATGTTTCGACGAGTTCAATCGCATCGAGCTGCCCGTCCTGTCCGTGGCCGCGCAGCAGATCCACATCGTCTTCAATGCAAGAAAGGAGCGCAAGACCAGCTTCATTTTCAGCGACGGCGACAACGTGTCACTGAATCCTGAGTTCACCATTATCATCACAATGAACCCGGGTTATGCCGGCCGGCAGGAGCTGCCTGAAAACCTGAAGATCCAGTTCCGCACAGTCGCCATGATGGTGCCTGATCGGCAGATCATCATGCGCGTCAAGCTCGCCAGCTGCGGCTTCCGCGAAAACATCAACCTGGCGCGCAAGTTCTTCGTGCTGTACAAGCTGTGCGAAGGAGCAGCTCAGCAAGCAGGTGCATTACGACTTCGGGTTGCGAAACATCCTGTCCGTGCTGCGCACGCTCGGCTCGCAGAAGCGGTCACGTCCAGACGAACCCGAGGAGATGGTGGTGATGCGCGTCCTGCGCGACATGAACGTCTCCAAGCTGGTGGACGAGGACGAGCCGCTCTTCCTCTCGCTCATCACCGATCTGTTCCCCGGCATGCAGCTGGAGAAGGTGGTGCGCGCCGAGCTGATGACCGCCATCGCCAACCAGGTGCAGCTGGCAGGCATGGTCAACCACCCGCAGTGGAACCTGAAGCTGATCCAGCTGTACGAGACGTCGCTGGTCCGACACTGGTCTGATGACGCTGGGGCCGACAGGCGCCGGCAAGACCGCCTGTATCCACATGCTCATGAAGGCCATGACCGAGACGGGCGCCCCGCACAAGGAGATGCGCATGAACCCGAAGGCGATCACGGCGCCGCAGATGTTCGGCCGGCTCGACGTGGCCACCAATGACTGGACGGACGGCATCTTCTCCACGCTCTGGCGCCGCTCGCACAAGGTGAAGAAAGGCGAGAACATCTGGCTGGTGTTGGACGGCCCTGTGGACGCCGTCTGGATCGAGAACCTTAACTCGGTGCTGGACGATAACAAGACGCTGACACTGGCCAACGGCGATCGCATCACCATGGCGCCCACCTGCAAGCTGCTGTTTGAGCCCGACAATGTCGACAACGCGTCGCCGGCCACCATTTCGCGCATGGGCATGGTTTTTATGAGCGCGTCCGTGCTCGGATGGAAGCCGATTCTGAAGGGCTGGTTGAATACTCGCCAGCAGGCCGAGGCCGAAATTCTCTGGGGCTTCTACGACGCCATCTTCGACGACCTTCTGAACTACGTGCGCCAAGAACTGCTGCCCAAGATGTTCACGCAGGAGGCCAACTACACGACGCAGTCGACTGACCTGTTGACTGGGCTCATCATGGAACAGGAGGACAAGGACAAGTCGAGTCCGCTACCCGCCGAGGAGTTGCAGCGACTCTTCCTCTTCTCGGTCATGTGGAGCCTGGGAGCGCTGCTCGAGCTCGACATGCGGGCCAAGATGGAGGAGTTTGCGCGCAGTCACCCGTCCGAGCTCGACTGGCCCGTCTGCGCTGAGGACGAGACCATTTTCGAGTTCAGAGTTAACCCCAAGGGTGAGTGGGAGCACTGGCGCAACTACGTCAGTGAGTATGAGTACCCAACAGACTCGGTGCCAGAGTTTTCCAGCATTCTGGTGCCAAATGTGGACAACGTGCGAACCAGCTTCCTCATGAACACCATCACCAAGCAGAATAAGTGTGCACTGCTGATTGGTGAGCCAGGTACAGCAAAAACCGTCATGATCAAGTCAGCGCTGAACAGTCTAAACCCCGAGGAGCACCTGTTCAAGTGCATAAACTTCTCCTCGGCCACCACGCCCATGATGTACCAGCGGACAATTGAGAGCTACGTGGACAAGCGAATGGGCACGACGTACGGTCCTCCCAGCGGTCGCAAAATGACTGTCTTCATCGACGACATCAACATGCCGGACATCAACGAGTGGGGAGATCAAGTGTGTAATGAGATCGTTCGCCAGCTGATGGAGCAGAAAGGCTTCTACTCGCTGGAGAAGCCAGGTGACTTCACACACGTTGTGGACACGCAGTTTCTGGCTGCCATGATCCATCCCGGCGGTGGGAGGAACGACATCCCACCGCGGCTCAAGCGACGATTCGCCATTTTCAACTGCACCCTGCCGTCCGTCAACTCCATGGACCAAGTGTTCCGGGTCATCAGCACTGGATACTTCAGCCCGTCCCGCTTCCCAGAAAACATCGTGGAGTTCATTCCCAGTATCGTGCCTATGACGAGAAAGGTGTGGCAGATGACGAAGGTGAAAATGCTGCCCACGCCAGCCAAGTTCCACTACGTCTTCAACCTCCGGGATCTATCGCGAATATACGAGGGAATCCTGAAGGTTGTTGAGGAAACAGTGCGACAACCCGAAGACATCCTCATCGTCTGGAAACACGAATGCATTCGTGTGATAGCGGACAGATTTACGAGTGAGGCGGACAAAACATGGTTCCAAGAGGCCTGCCAACAAGTGGCTGGAGAAGATCTTGATGAGGACCTAGCATGTGTCGTCAAAAATGACCACTACTTCGTGGACTTCCTCCGCGACGCCCCTGAGCCGACCGGCGAAGAGCCAGATGACTTTGAATTTGAGGTGCCCCACGTCTATGAGCCCATCGAAAGCTTCGACGCCCTAGAGAAACGGCTTCGCATGTTTCAAGACCAGTACAATGAGGCAATTCGTGGAGCGGCCATGGACATGGTGTTCTTTGTGGACGCCATGGTGCATTTGGTAAAGATCTCGCGTGTGCTGCGCACTCCCAGAGGCAACGTCTTGCTCGTGGGAGTGGGAGGCAGTGGCAAACAATCGCTCACGCGCCTGGCGTCGTTCATTGCGGGCTATCAGACCTTCCAGATCACACTGACCAGAGCGTACAGTGCTAGCAACCTGATGGATGACCTGAAAATTCTTTACCGGGTAGCAGGCAAAGATGGCAAAGGCATCACGTTCGTCTTTACCGACAACGAGATAAAGGAAGAGAGTTTCCTCGAGTATCTCAATAACATGATAAGCACGGGAGAAATATCAAATTTATTTGCTCGAGACGAAATGGACGAAATCACCAACGAGCTAATCCCAGTGATGAAAAAGGAAGAGCCACGCACGCCACCCACGCCCGACAACCTGTACAATTTCTTTATATCGCGAGCCAGGAGCAACATCCACGTGTGCCTGTGCTTCTCGCCGGTGGGCGAGAAGTTCCGCTCCCGGGCCCTCAAGTTCCCCGGCCTAATCTCCGGCTGCACCATGGACTGGTTTTCGCGATGGCCTCCGGACGCCCTGGTGGCCGTCTCGCACCATTTCATCTCCGGCCACGACATAGTCTGCACCGACGAGGTCAAGGACGAACTCATCAAGAGCATGGGATTCGTGCACGACGGCGTGGCCAAGCTGTGCACGCAGTATTTCGAGCGCTTCCGGCGGCAGACCCACGTAACGCCGAAGTCCTATCTGTCCTTCCTGGACGGGTACAAGGCCATATACACGCAGAAGCACGAGGAAATCAACGAGCTGGCGCGACGCATGAACATGGGCCTCACCAAGCTAGTGGAGGCCACGGCCAGCGTTAACGAGCTGGCCGTGGAGCTGGAGAAGATGACCCAGACGCTGGCCGTCGCCTCGGCCGAGGCCGAGCAAGTGCTGGCCGAGGTGACCCAATCGGCCAGCGCAGCCGAAAAGGTCAAGGCCGAAGTGCAGGTGGTCAAGGACGGCGCCGAGGCGTTGGTGTCCAGCATCGCCGTCTCCAAGGGCATCGCCGAGGAGAAGCTGGAGGCAGCGCGGCCGGCCCTGGAGGACGCCGAGAGGGCGCTGGACACCATCACCGGCGCCGATATATCGACCGTACGAAAACTGGGCAAGCCGCCCCATCTGATCATGCGCATCATGGACTGCGCTCTGCTTCTGTTCCAAAGGCACCTGGATCCTGTGACGCCCGACCCGGACCGGCCGTGCCTCAAGCCGTCGTGGGGCGACGCTCTGAAGCTCATGTCAAACACGCAGTTCCTGCAGATGTTGAAGAACTTCCCCAAGGACACAATCAATGACGAAGTATGCGAGCTAATGGAGCCCTATTTCGCCATGGAGGATTACACGCTCGAGAGCGCCAAAAAAGTATGTGGAAATGTGGCCGGTCTTCTGTCCTGGACGTTGGCCATGAGTGTCTTCTTTGGCATTAACAAGGAGGTTCTGCCGCTGAAGGCCATGCTGGCTGTCGAGGAAGGTAAACTTGCCGCGGCGAACGCAGAACTAGCCGAGGCTCAAACGCTGCTCGATGCTAAGCAAAAGGAGCTCGATGAAGTGCAGGCCAAATTTGACGTGGCGATGGCCGCCAAACAGAAACTTGAAGATGACGCCAATCGGTGCCAGCGTAAAATGGACAACGCGTCAACCCTTATCAATGGTTTGTCGGGAGAAAAAGTCCGGTGGACAGCACAGTCGGAGGCGTTCAAGCAGCAGACAGAATGGCTGGTGGGTGATGTATTAATGCTGACTGGCTTCCTCAGCTATGCTGGTCCCTTCAACCAGGAGTTCAGGACGCTGTTAATCAAGCAGTGGGAAAAGGAGCTCAAGACCCGGCGCATTCCGTGCTCTGAAGACCTTAGCATCATAGGCCAGCTGTCCGATCCGCCCACGGTGGCGGAGTGGAACTTGCAAGGTCTGCCCAACGACGATCTTTCCACACAGAACGGCATCATCGTGACAAAAGCGTCCCGGTTTCCGCTTCTGATAGACCCGCAGAGCCAGGGAAAGGTCTGGGTGAAGAACAAAGAGAAAGACAACGAACTGATTGTAACTTTTCTGAATCACAAATACTTCCGAAACCATCTGGAGGACGCGCTCTCTCTGGGAAAGCCGATGATCATTGAAGACGTCGGGGAAGAACTCGACCCAGCGCTAGATAACGTGCTGGAAAAGAACTTCATCAAGTCTGGTACCAGCCTGAAGGTAAAGTTGGGAGACAAAGAGGTGGATTTCATGAAAGGTTTTCGGTTATACATCACCACCAAGTTGGGCAACCCCACCTACTCGCCGGAAGTCTCGGCTAGGGCTTCCATTATTGACTTCACAGTGACCATGAAAGGACTGGAAGACCAGCTTCTCGGGCGAGTCATTGGCACTGAAAAGCAGGAACTGGAGCGTGAGCGCACCAAATTGGTGGAAGACGTCACCGACAACAAGCGTAAAATTAAAGAACTAGAGGACAACTTGCTCTACAAGCTAACCAGCACGCAGGGTTCCCTGGTGGAAGACGAGTCCTTGATCGCCGTCCTGGCAAACACAAAGGAAACCGCCGCCGACGTGCATGAAAAGCTGAAGGTGGCCGCCGAGACGGAGCTGAAAATAAACGAGGCTCGAGAAGAGTTCAGGCCCGTGGCCACCCGAGGCAGTATTCTGTACTTCCACATCTGCGAAATGGCCATGGTGAATAGCATGTATCAGACATCGCTAGTTCAATTCCTTGGAATATTCGACAGGTCCATGACTGAGTCTGAGAAGTCACCCATCCCCCAAAGACGGATCGGCAACATCATCGAGTACTTGAACTTTGCCTCCTTCCAGTACACATGCCGCGGTCTGTACGAGTGTGACAAGTTCCTCTTCACGCTGCTGATGGCGCTGAAGGTCGACCTGAACCGCCGCATCGTCAAATACGAGGAATTCCAGGTGCTGATCAAGGGCGGCGCGGCGCTCGACCTGAACAACGTCACACCGAAGCCGTGCCGCTGGATCAGCGACCTCACCTGGCTGAACCTCGTCGAGCTGTCCAAGCTGCCCTACTTCCACGAGATCCTGAACCAGGTGCCGCACAACGAGAAGACGTGGCGCGCCTGGTTCGAAAAGGAGGCGCCCGAGGAGGAGGTGATCCCGGACGGCTACCACACCTCGCTGGACACGTTCCGCCGGCTGCTGCTGATCCGCTCCTGGTGTCCGGACCGCACCATCGCGCAGGCGCGCAAATACGTCGCCGAGTCTCTTGGAGCGCGGTACACCGAGCCCATCATCCTTAACCTAGAGATGACGTGGAATGAATCGTCCAACCGCATTCCACTGGTCAACCTGCTCAGCACCGGCTCGGATCCGACGCCCATGATCGAGGCGCTCGCCAAGAAGCAGGGCATTGCCTGCTCGGCCGTCTCGATGGGTCAGGGTCAGGAGATACACGCGCGCCGTATCATGACCGAGTACATCGCCGACGGCGGCTGGGTGCTGCTGCAGAACTGCCATCTCTGCCTGGACTTTGTGTCCGAGGTGGTGACGACGCTGATCGAGACGGAGGGCATGGACGACCGGTTCCGCATGTGGATCACCACGGAGCCCCATCCGAAGTTCCCCATCTCGCTGCTGCAGATGGCCATCAAGTTCACCAACGAGCCGCCGCAGGGCATAAAGGCTGGCCTGCAGCGCACCTACCACGGCATCTCGCAGGAGCTGCTGGACTACACCAACTACCCGCAGTGGCGGCCAATGCTCTACGGAGTCTCCTTCCTGCACACTATCGTGCAGGAGCGCCGGAAGTTCGGTCCCCTCGGCTGGAACATCCCGTACGAGTTCAACCAGGCCGACTGGTCGGCGTCCGTGCAGTTCGTGCAGAACCACCTGGACGACATCGACCCGAAGAAGGGCGTGAGCTGGATCACGGTCCGCTACATGCTCGGAGAGGTGCAGTACGGCGGGCGAGTCACCGACGACTTTGACAAGCGCCTGCTGGTCACCTTCGCCAAGGTGTGGTTTTCCGACGCCATGTTCAACGAACAGTTCTGCTTCTACCAGGGCTACGGCATCCCGCGTTCGGCCAAGCACTCGGAGGTGATGGCCTTCATTGACGACCTGCCGGCCGTGGACGCTCCGCAGGCATACGGCCTGAACACCAACGCCGATATCACATACCAGACCAACACAACAAAGGCGCTGCTGGACACCATCCTGGCCATCCAGCCCAAGGAGTCGAGCGCCGGCGGTGGGGAGACACGAGAGTCGATCGTCTACCGGCAGGCGGATGAGATGCTCAGCAAGATGCCCGACGACTACGTGCCTCACGAGGTAAAGGCACGTCTGCAGACAATGGGCGCGCTGACGCCCATGAATATCTTCCTCAGGCAGGAGCTCGACCGCATGCAGAAGGTGATCACTGCGGTTCGGAAGACGCTGTCTGATCTTAAGCTGGCCATCGACGGCACCATCATCATGAACGAGAACCTGCGCGACGCGCTCGACAACATCTTCGACGCCAAGGTGCCGGCGCTCTGGAACCGGATCAGCTGGCAGTCGACCACCATCGGCTTCTGGTTCACCGAGCTGCTCGAGCGCAACAACCAGTTCAATACGTGGATCTTCCAAGGCCGGCCGAACGTGTTCTGGATGACGGGCTTCTTCAACCCGCAAGGCTTCCTGACGGCCATGCGACAAGAGGTGACGCGCGCGCACAAGGGCTGGTCCCTGGACAGCGTCGTGCTCGCTAACGAGGTGCTCAAGGTTCACAAGGAGGACGTGGACACCGTGCCCCCCGAGGGCGTGCTGGTGCACGGGCTGTTCCTGGACGGCGCCGGCTGGGACAAGAAAAACTGTCGCCTGGCCGAGTCGCAGCCCAAGGTGCTGTTCGTCAAGCTGCCCGTGGTGCACATATTCGCTGTCAACAACCCGTCCGGCCGCGAGTCCAAGCTGTACAAGTGCCCCGTGTACAAGAAGCCCAACCGCACCGACCTCAACTACATCACGCTGCTCACGCTGCGCACCGTCCAGACGCCCGATCACTGGGTGCTGCGCGGCGTGGCCCTCCTATGTGACGTCAAGTAGACCCCGCCGACCCCGCCCAGCGCAGCCGGGGATGAAGCGCTGGGAGGAGATGGTCAGATTTCCCCTCCCCCCGCCCCATCGGTCCGTTAATCGACACAAAATGTTGCGTTCAGTGCGTCCTCGTGAATGACGTCATCTTTCCTGGTACCGTTGTTGACTGCCGACAGCTGTTTGGATGGTAATTTAATTTATTTTGGGGAGGGGGATCCCATCGTTTTCTTTGTATCTGCATTCGCATTCTCTGCAGGATGAAATACAGAGCTTGCGAACGCAAATGATGCACTGAAATGTTTCTATCATACCCAAGCGAAACGTTCAGTCATAATACTAAAAGCCAGGCTACTTGGGGAGCGTTCTTAGTAGCAACACGTACAACTAAACCCCAAATATGATATACAGTGGCCAATAGCAAACATCACAGCAGCCTCTCGAGCTGGACAGATCGCACACCATGGCTTGGGCGCACATCACAGATCTGACCTTGCGTGCGTGCTGTGACGGGTAACACACGGTTTTACTCCGCAGTACATTAAGTTAGATGGAATGATATGACTCGATGCATGGGATAACTCGCTAGCGTTAAAAATACCCTTCTGACCATTTCCGCAGTAAGCTTAGCAACAACAGGCACATTAAAAACGAAAATCCGTACCGCATAGGGTTTTCCAACTTCGTCACCAGTACATCAATTCCCTGTTACAACCGGGGCCAGCAATTGGTTCTTGTCCGTAACGTGGCGGCATGTATAATGAATAGCGAGCCAGCGACCATTAAACCTGAACACTTATTGCAACAGCGCATGGCGTGTAGCCGGATCGGAGTCACGTAACGTGGGGGGCACTTTGAACGCCATAGCCGCCCACGCCTCGCCTCTTCCACAATCACAAAACCCAGGCGCCGACAGTCCGGGGGGCGTGTCGGCGCCGTTAACACCGGGGCGTGTCAGCGCAGCACCTTGACCTGGCGCGCCAGCGTGCCTGGCATGTGCCAGCACCTTGACCTGACGCGCCGCCTGGCAAACGTCCCACGCACGTCCGCATGACCGGAAGTCCACCGTGCCCGCGCTTCCAGAGCGCCGGTCGCGGCTGCAGCTGCGCTTCTCGGTGTGAGAGACGGCGCCGTTTACACGGGCGGCCGCGGTCGTCGGCGTTGCCAAACAACAATAGCCACCTCCTGGAAGGCGGCCACACCCCGTCTCGCTCGTCTGGGCGCCACTCGGCTCGGTTCCCGGTACGGCCGGCGGGCGGAGCGTGCCGCCCGGCCGGCTTTGGCCCGCTGACGAGCCGGTCACGTGCGACGGCCGAGCGGCGGTGACGAGCGGCCGACCCGCCGCGTCAGGAGCGTGGCTCTCGGCACTGACGCCGGCGGCTCGACAACGCATGCGGCGCGGCGCAGCTCGGCTCGGCTCGGCTCGGCGCAGGCTCGGCTCGGCTCGGCTCGGCTCGGCTCGGCTCGGCTCGGCTCGGCTCGGGCTCGGCTCGGCCGGCTCGGCTCCTCGGCTCGGCTTCGGCTCGGCTCGGCCTCGGCGCAGCTCGGCTCGGCTCGGCTCGGCTCAGGCTCGGCTCGGCTCGGCTCGGCTCGCTCGGCTCGCTCGGCTCGGCTCGGCTCGGCTCGGCTCGGCTCGGCGCGGCTCGGCTCAGGCGCGGCTCGGCTCGGCTCGGCTCGGCTCGGCTCGGCTCGGCTCGGCTCGGCGCGGCGCAGCCCAGCTCGGCTCAGCTCGGCTCGGCTCGGCTCGGCTTGGCTCGGCACGGCTCGGCTCGGCTCGTTGTGCTGGTGACACGGCGACGAGGTCCCTCCTCGGAGGTTGCATACGGGGCGGGGGGGGGGGGGGGGGCGGACACAGACGACCAGGCGTGTGGCAGACCGACGGCGAGCTTTGCGCCAAGACATGGCTTGTGGAGAGCCGACGGCTCGTGGTGAGAACTGGATTGAGGTCCATCCCAGTTGACGTGTGACAGGTTCGGTCGATCAGACACGCGGGCGAATCAAGCCGCTGGGGTCGCCCAGCGCACAGAAATGAGCGGCAGCTGGCCTGCTGAGACCCGCCGGAGCCCCGCACGACAGTCGGAGCGTGGCACTCGGGCGCGGGGTGACCCGTGTGCCCACCGGCTGGGCGGCCTACCGTGCACACCTCGCACTCACTGGCGTGGGCGAGGTGCCCACGACTGCCTGTAACAGGCTGCGGGGCTTTCCAAGCTTTCACGTGAGGCGCGGTCCCACTGCACGTTCAGCCAACTGTCTAATTCTCGTGGGCTCTGGTCAGTACCGAAACTGAGTCACGCCGAATCAGAATACAAAAACAACACATGGATAGAGACGGAGCTGTACTGAACACGCGGATGACTAAACAATTGAGGGAAATTGAGAGTGATCGAAAACTTTTACAGCAAGCTTCATCAAGAGCTTTTAAAGCAAACTTTATCTAGAACTTCACAAACGGCGATCTAACCTCTGCGAACTCTCGGTGGTCCATGTCTTCGGAGATATGGCAAGCCGAGTGAAGAGGTCGCGCGGACAGCACGCAGCCCTCTCGCTTCATCATTGTCTTCTCCAGCTGTTCGTCCAGTGTTCTGCCGAAAGTCATGCCCACCTCAAATCACACAAGCATCAAACACGAACCATGCACACATACAAGGTCGGTATGACGCCGACGGCGTAAGCATCGCCAAGACTCCCACCCACCCCACGACACCGCCACCACCCCCACCGTCCTGGCCATCGCTGGTGGACAAAAGGTAAATGGGCCGTAACGCTCGGCCGAGGCTTTTCGACGCCTGATTGCAATTCGCGCCGCTTGCCAGCTCCTCCTGGACCCCGTCACCGCTCATGTGGGCGTTCTCGGCCGGCACTGCTCGCCCGGGCGGCGCGGCCCACGCCCGCGTAAGCGCCCCCCCCCCCCCCCCCCCCCCCCCCCAGGGCACACACGTGACAAACGGTGCTGTCGCTACCTGGCGCCGCGCACGAACACCGCGTTCGACTCCAGGCACACGACGGGCAGGCGGCTGCCGTAGGCCAGGTAGCGCGAAAGGTGGCCCTGACCCGAGCCCAGGTCGACCACCAGCTCCGGCGCCGTCAGCTCCACCAGCCGCGCCAGCCGCCGCATCTCGTGCTGCTTCTTGGGCTTGACGTGGCGACGGAACACGTGATGCAGCGCCCTCAGCTGGCCGCCGGCGGCTGTCAGCTCGCCGGCCGCATCCTCTGGCCACGCCTCCGTGGCGGCGTCGACGGGGCTCCCACTCGCCGCGTCCGAGTGCCCGTCTCCCTGGCCCGACCGTGCCGGACACGCGGCCAGCGCCGACCGGTGTGGACTCTGCGCTCCCGTCTCCAGCCCGGCCGGCGCCAGAAACACCGTCTGGGGGGTCGGCGGGCGCCCCGCGGTCGCTCCCGTCTCCAGTCCGGCCGGCGCCAGCGACACCGTCTGGAGGGTCGGCGGACGCCCCGCGGTCGCTCCCGTCTCCAGTCCGGCCGGCGCCAGCGACACCGTCTGGAGGGTCGGCGGACGCCCCGCGCTCGCTCCCGTCGCCAGCCCGGCCGGCGCCCGCCGCGCGACGCCGCAGGAACGCGGCCGCCGGGCGCGCCGACGGCACCGAGCGGCGCGGCAGCGACAGCGCTCGGCAGGCGGCCCCGTAGCAGAGCAGAGACAGCGGCGGCACGACGGCTGGCGGCCCGCTGGAACAGCACCGGCAGTGGTACACAGCGCATGGACGCGGTGCGGCGCACCCGGCGAACGGGCGGCAGACTGACGCGGACAGCTGTTGAACGGGAACATGGCGTGTTCATTGGACAAATATTGGCATGGCGCTCTGTAAACCATTGTTTACACAGCAATATTGCTGGCAATGAGCACTGACTTTCGAGAAATACACAAGGACCAGGTGTGACGGTAACAGAATGTAAAATTGCCTATACGTCTCCAGTAGAGTAGACGCATATGGAAGTGTCTCCGAATATGAAACCTTGTCATGTGTTGCATTGTATTCAGCATCACGGAAAGAGTACGGGCTGGTTGGGTACTCTTGCACCATGCGTGCAAAAAACGGGAGTTTGAAACACGATGGTCTCAAAAATAACATTTTCATTATCAGTTTCTAACGGCGGCAAAAAATAATATTCAAAAAGCAGTTCCCCACCAAGTGTTAAGAACAATGGAAACCTTGCGAACTTATTGCTCCTTGTCGTAGTGACGTATATCACGGCCCCATGCGCTAACATAATGCTGGCACAACGAAACGGCAGCGCCCTCCCATTCAGCTCATGTCACATCCTAAACCGCAAACAACACTCTAAAGAGCGAATGGCTGCCAAAAATAAAATAAAATAATGAAACAGTAATGCCACTACATTCTACGACGAGACTGCAAATCCATTTTTTGTTGGCTCCGATCCCTTTATCGTCTTTCTAAATCGGATGAGGCAGCAGGTGTAACAAGGATACAGGAGTGTGGTACCATAGCACCTGCATCTGACGCCACATCGCGACCGGTGATACTGGACAGGCGTCAGACTGCCCGTGTCGCTAGCCCACCCATGTCTGGAACTGTTGACCTGCACTGGCTACACAGAAAGTAGGGACGAGTACGGTACTGAGAAATATTGCCAAAGCCGGTTCCCGGTTTCCTAAGCTGGTGCTGGCTCGGGGCCGGTACTTAGTTGCCTAGGCTGGTGCCGGTGCGGGGCCAGTACCGTTACCTAGGCTGGCGCCGGTGCGGGGCCGGTACCTAGTTACCTCGGCTGGTGACGGTGCGGGGCCGGTACCGTTACCTAGGCTGGTGCCGGTGCGGGGCCGGTACCGTTACCTAGGCTGGCGCCGGTGCGGGGCCGGTACTTAGTTACCTAGGCTGGTGTCGGTGCGAGGCTGGTACCGTTACCTAGGCTGGTGCCGGCTCGGGGCCGGTACTTAGTTACCTAGGCTGGTGCCGGTGCGGGGCCGGTACCGTTACCTAGGCTGGTGTCGGTGCGGGGCCGGTACTTAGTTACCTAGGCTGGTGCCGGTGCGGGGCCGGTACCGTTACCTAGGCTGGTGTCGGTGCGGGGCCGGTGCTGGTGCCGGTGCGGGGCCGGTACCGTTACCTAGGCTGGCGCCGGTGCGGGGCCGGTACCCCATTACCTAGGCTGGTGCCGGTGCGGGGCCGGTGCTTAGTTACCTAGGCCGGTGCCGGCTCGGGGTAGGTGCCCCATTACCTACGCTGGTGTCTGTGCCGGGCCGGTGCTGGTGTCGGTGCGGGGTCGGTACCCAGTTACCTAGGCTGGTGCCGGTGCGGGGCCGGCGCTCCATTACCTAGGCTGGTGTCGGCGCGGGGCCGGTACCTAGTTATCGGTGCTGGTGTCGGTGCACGGCCGGTACCCAGTTACCTAGGCTGGTGCCGGTGCGGGGCCGGTACCCGGTTTTTACATTTGCTTTCACACCTGATGTGTATGCAATGTGAAAACAGGGCAGCTAAATACTGTTCAGCACAGCGGTGTATCAGATCGGTAGCCCGGCAGCAACTCACAGGGTATGACGCCGAAACAGCCACGGCGGCATAACAGGGAAAATTACACTTCTGAAATTGCTACTGAACCATTGCAGGTGATATGATAAACTTCGAGTGTGCCCGTCAAAGCGGCTGGAACTTATCTATGATTTGCACAGGTCGAACGGAAGCCCAACATGGCAGCCAGGGGAAGTTTTGGCACGAAGTTGGACATCGGAAGCTAGCGCCACTCGGAGACAGTTACCTTGTGCTTTTGGGAGCATCGGTGCCATCGCCAGCTATAAATGCTGATAACTTCTCGGCAGACCAAAAGTCCAGTGTCTGCCCCCAGCTGCCCGGAATGGTGCTCCACGACTCTTTCACGAAGAAATCCTGTTGAAATACTTCTATCAACACATCAAAAGCACCCAGCACCGAAGCTTGAAACCTGCCTTTGAAGACTAAACGAACAGCCCCAGACTAAGCAATGGCAGACCAAAGAGAACCGTCGGCTGTTTACCCTCGCCGAGCCAGCTCACAGTAGTTAAGCTCCAGTTGAATGAAATAAAAGCGAGAATATGAATATCGGATGCGAGCTGCCATGAGCGTAAGGCAGCAGGATGTTTTGAAACACCTGTGCGTCCAGTGAGGCAAAAAGCACTGTGGCGAATAGCGCCGTGTACGTTGTTCCACGGAGCCAGGGTGGTAGATCTATCTCATATGATATATCTCAATGACTTTTTTCTTCAGGAACGGTGCGTAGCTGAGGCTACATTTTGACACCAATGACCGGGCTCTGTGGTTGTGACGAAAATGCCGAGGTTTCACGCTTCATCAATGGCTTCATATCGCCGTTTAGGCAGCACCGCCTGGCACGATGAAGATCCGTGATTTGGCAGAACGACTCGCACAATGACGCACAAACACCTAACCCAAACGAAGCTGCCCATAGCCCAAACCTCACCAGTATGTACGCGTCTGCCAGGTGCGAGTACCGCTTGAGGAACGCCACGGCCTTGCTAACGTACTCCTTCCATGCTTGCACATCCCGGTCCGTTTCCAAGCGCGCGGACATCTGCAAAGCGACCTAACGGCGTCAGATGACGTCACGCGTGCATGCAGACATGCTCTTTTGCTCAAGAGGTGCTTGCGAATCGTGTGCATTGTGCACGTCCAAGAAAGATATAATGGGGTAGCGGCACGCGAAAGGTAAACACGGCATCCTGTTGTGCTACTTAACCTTGAAAATACAGTGTTGTTCAGTGGTGCAGTTTGACATGTCCGTCTCTTCATCTAGCCCATGTTCAATACAAACAAACCGAAACGATTCGTTGCATACCGCCCGTATTGCTACATTTCAGTACACTGAAGTCTAAAACTAAAAACGAAACGGGATGCAGTACAAGGCCCCAACATAGGCTCATGACCACTGTACTTAGGTAAACAAACGAACGAAGTAAGCTAGATCTACAACTGACAAACAGCGTAACAATAAAATCCGAATCAGATCTACCCGTTACAGACTTAATGATGTGAGTTCGCACAAGACTTGGGGCTCAGAAATTCTCTCTGCATAATGGCTGTGCCTCAGCGACCGACGACGGGACAGCGCCGCCATGACTGGCGACATACCGGGGAAGAAACAAGAGAAATGAACTGCACAGCTCAATAGCATATTTTGCACCCCGTGATAATAAAAAGTCCCATGGATTTGTTTTTTTCTCTCTAAATAATGGACATATCGAACGACTCGCCTGGACGTACATGGAAAAGCAACACCCACAGACGGTTCACGACGGAACGGAATATATATCTGGATCGCGTGTGTTGCACTTATTTATAACTGCCCAATTTCTTTTAGTTCGCTTATCGAAAATCGTAATTTGCTCGTCAATCATATCAATGTTTTGCTTCGGCGTGACTGACTATTAAATGTATTTGATTAAATTACGAATTTCATAGTCCGTTACGTCTTCTGTTTTAAGAAGCGTTTTCCGTGAAGGTGCCATGATCTGTACCTAGCGCGAGGCCCCGTGAGAAGTATTATTGCCAGTAAGAAATTTGAGTTTGACACTCGAAGGCGACCAGTGGTGTTCGGAACGCGAGGCAGATACCGTGATGTTTTCTTGTTCTTCGTTGGAATTCGGCAACCCCGCTTTAATAAAATTGATAATTGACGTGGAAGAATAATTAATAAACATATTTATTGAACCGGCCGGTCGTTTTGGCCGAAGTCATAAAACAAAACATCTAATCGAAGCATGTTAAGTCTCCGTCGAATGTAGCCAGGACAAAGATGAGTAGCGACAGCATAGCTCGGTCCAGGGTCCCACGCACGCACGCACGCACGCACCCACACCCATATATATATAATATATATATATATATATATATATATATATATATATATATATATATATATATATATATATATATAGACAGCACACCGGTTTTCCGCCGGCTTCTTCTTGCATGTCTTTCCGCTGCGAGATCGAGCAGCCATCCATTTCTTGGTCCGCATCGCCTCGAACAGCTTTCTTATCTACACTATCATCGCTCTACGGCGGAAGACGGTGTTCCACGTTTAACATGGGATCGTCCACAAATTATGCTACACATTTGTCAACCCTTTTTCACACTTATTACGCACCGGTTACGCGTATCGTCATTGAACAGCAACGCTCGTTTGGCCCTAATTGGGTTAGAGATGCGAAACATATCGCAGTCTGTACGCTCCCCAAACCCCTTGCATAACGTAATTTGTCGACGGCACCTGTTTCCACACTTTCGGTTTTTGAGCGGGTCCACTGAATGCTGCGCCGCGACCGATCAAGATGTCTACATCAGAGCTCCAGGATTTCTGTGCCACAGTACCGGCTGCCCGTGCCGAATTAGTATCGGCGGCACGGCAACCGTGCCAGAACTCACAACAGCGGGCGGCGCCGGAAATTGTTGGCCTTCCCGAATGACTTAAAAGCCGACGCCAGTGACTGCGCAAGCTAAATCTCGTCGGTTCTAGTGCCACTATTGGTACTGGAACTGGACCTGGGCTGGCGAAGTCGACAGAGATTTTTGCAGATCGATTCTGCAAAAGTCTTTGCTGTTTTGCTAGTTGGCCGTGCCGATCACTTGTAAATGCCAGCTGCTCGGCATGAAGACCCGCTAACGTGCACATGCTGCATTAGACAAATCCTCGCTGCAATCCGTCATCAGCTCAAATACAGTGCGAAGAGTCGCGGCACGAAAGGGGCGGTGGAGCGCAGGGTGAATGGGTGCACCTTGATGCCTATTGCGGCCGAGAAATGAGATTTGCAACGAAAGTCTGACACTCCTGACACGCAATGGTACAATGCAGCCCAATGCATCCACAGTCCAAAGGGCAACATGATGTGAGAATGCTTCGTAATGACAGACGGGCCAGATCGGTAAGCAGATGGGCAGGATGAAGGAACCACTGATTTGGTTACATATTTACACACACACATACTGCATATGCAACTATGTATATATTTTGTTCTGGGCTTCAAGGAGATTATCTAATTTTTAGCCAACAATCCATGATTTGCAGGCTGCACAAATGTCAGTTTACATCTATTCCATGTACATGGGCCCATGATGCAGTCAGTAAGCAGGCCAACATAATTGTGATACATTTCATACATTACTATACATGTATATCTGCACCAGCATTAAAAAAGCTTAGTATTTCTAGTAGATGGTGACCTATCACACCATGTCTGCTGTCAATGTACAAATTTTGAGTTCATTTTAAGGTTTTTAATCCTGGGAACTTGTTCTGAAAAAGTAAACTGCATTACAGAACTATCTTGCTCACAAAGCCCAAACCAATTCAGACTCAAATACTGTTACATTAAAGAAAACATAAGCTTATTTGGACTAGCAATAGCATGTGCATGTTCCAAAAAACATGGAGTGTGGATTGATGGCTCATGAAAATTGGTCAATTTCCTGCTATTACATCTCTGGCTGACTTTTGTCCATGCAACTGACATTGATTTTTCAATACAATGTGCAGCTTTACAAGCTGAATTTCTACTTAATTATGCAATGAGTCTTTGATGGTGAAAACAATTTGATGCATTCTGTCACTTGTTATTGTAAATATTGGATTATATACTTATGAGCTGAAACTTAAGTATGAAAACAAAAATAACCATTTTTGTAAACACATTCATTTAGTGTTCACTCATCAGCCCCATAAACTTCTTGCACATTCTGTCGTCCTGGTCTGGGCCAGCTTGTTTGTTCTTTTTTGAGGCTTTGAGACTAATAACTTCTTGACAAAAAGTCAACTCAGCTATGGTGCTCTTATGGTGGCTTTTGTTCTTAAAGCAACAGACAGGTCTGCTTGACACATAGTCAGCCAACACTAATACCACCACATAAACTGATGTAAATTGAAATATCTGGAAGAATAAAATACATGTATGACAAAGAGCACCTACATGGCATGAATTTTGGTTTAGGAATGGATTAAACATGCATGGAAAATGGTGCAGTGTGGTATCTGCCCTGCGAGGGTGGTATGCTGGTGTTTCATCTTTGTATTCTTCATTTTCAAGCAATTTGTGATAGTGATATGAATCCATTCACGATGTTACAGGCAAAAACACAATGCACATGAATAAAACACAATTTTAAGATATGCTTGCATTTATGAGTGTCAGCATGCAGCCATATTTTTTCATTTTTCCCACTCTGTTTTGTAGACCGTGCTTACTAGCCTTAGGCCCCTGCTAGCCTTATACTTGTATGTGTATCCATTTGTTTAGTTAGCATACCAGGGCTAGGGCCATGCTCAGTCAACATCTTAACTGACATCCTAAATCCAAGTTCTTGTTGAACTCTGGCCATTTCAGATTACGATTTTAGAAGTGTTCTCTAAAAAGTGGTTACTACTGCGGCATTCATCAGGTGAACCAACAAATGCTTCTCATGCCTTATTAACACCATCCTGGAACATTGGGAGACTAGCCTGTCTGTCTCCCTAGATCTCCACAACTCCCAGGCAACCAATCACATTTCCATGACCTCATTTTTATATCATGTGGTAGCAAATGTCTCAACATTCATTCCTGCATTTTGAAAACGTGATGTGGAATCCCAGGCTCCACCAAGGTCTAGACAGAAAATTTGAATGGGACCTAAACCCAACTTCATGCAAGCTTAACCAACATGGAGTAGGGTCTGCTAAATGAAGACAAAATGGAGCTAAAGATGTAAAACATAATGTCATTAGCAAGCCAATGGAATTTGGAACCATTGTTTTCACTACAAATTTGCTTTTCATGCAATGACAGTGATGTGAAAGTATATACTTCACATGAACCAAAAGCTATTCACACATGGTGGTACTATACACTAGGAGGCTCTCAGCTTCATGAAGTTAGGCCAAGTTAATCTGTTTCTTCAGTTACAGCTGGGAATTGAGGACACCATGATTTCAGTGGCTAATATTTCTTCCTGTGGATCTCATAAAATCTCAAAGATTTTCCATTTTCTGTGGGCGACAATGCTTCCTTGAGCATATTTGCTTCTTGTTAAACAGGAAAAACAGACGCCTTTGGTAAGACTATTTGATGTAAGATATAAACTTGCCTTTCCAGTCACTGCTTGTTGATTGTGGATCAGATACTTTTTGGCTCTTGCTCTTGACTGTTGTTCACTGCAGTCGAATTGCTCTATTTCAGTCGATTTTGCGGACAGTCGCAAAAACAGCCATGGAGTCTCACACTGCATGCCATACCATGCAAAACCCGGTGCACCGCGCTTTGAGCCGGTCAAAACAGCAAGGGCATCCTGATCAAGCGTCTGTTTCAGTTGTCTTCATTGCGTCCCTTTTGTATTCAGATTTTCATTGCGGCTTTCTTTGGTATACCACGGAGACTAAGCATGGTAAAGGAAAAGGGAAGATTTAGCCACGGGATGGATAATGGTGCAAAGGGTGCATTAATACTCAGTAGTTAATGATATATCGAGCTACAGAATTAGGAGTCCCTGTATCTACATGCAAGTAAATTACTCATGTATACCAGCAGGCCTGGTCCCCTCGATCCCCTTGTTCTTTCCACGCTCAAACAATAACACAAGATCTCACAACTTCAGCGACACACGGCACGACATGAATCGCAGTGGCACATCCGTTTGTTTGTCAGCACTCTAGCACAAAATCTGCTCTCGAAGCGTCGCATTTAAATATCTATATACTGCTACCTTATCAATCAGTTCGTGTCTATGCTTACGGTTCGCTCAGTCCGACAAGTTGGTCGCAGATCCTTCATCGTTTTTCGCTTCGCCACGGGGTCTTTCCTGTTCATGCTAAACTACAAAGCAATATAAAGTTATAGCAAAATAATAAAGATAGAAGCAAGCTCACACACGCACATGATCACAGAGAGAGAAAGAGAGAGAGAGAGAGAGAGAGAGAGAGAGAGAGAGAGAGAGAGAGAGAGAGAGAGAGAGAGAGAGAGAGAGAGAGAGAGAGAGAGAGAGAGAGAGAGAGAGAGAGAGAGAGAGAGAGAGATGGATTAATCACTGCTTTCATACCGCCGTCCACCATATATGACCAATTACGATGCCTCACAAGACTTGATCACATTTGTGACATCGCTTTGAACTTAAGATCATTGATCAACGGCACACAAAGTAACCATATTGTTTGGTGGATCAAAAGGAAAACAAAAAGAAAAACGCATGCCTACACGTGATAGGCCACACTTTTACAAGCTTCGGGTTTGTCATACATGCTCACGCAGAAGCATGCACTGGCAATTTAGTTCTTTCAAAAGCTTGTAAATGGGTAAGAATTTAAACACTTCGTCAATAAGAACTGGTTAATCATTGCCAAATAGCGATTTCATACAAAGTGGCGTTCCATATTTGTGACAGATTTCCACAATACGTCGTCGCTGACGCGCATGCGCAACAATGGGCACTCCACCAACATATGTTGCACCGTTCGAGGGCATAAGCAGTTCTCACAGGTAGGTCTTGGTTCTCGATCCATAAGGAACGAATGGGTTTATCTTGTATGGCCTAGTCGTGGTCGGCATAGGATGATTTATTCGCGCCGGTTGATCCTCGTTGGGAGGTCCCATTGTCCTATATTCTTCTTTACCGTTTTCAGCGTTGTACGAGGTCCGTGCCTATGCCAGGTTTTGTTGAAATAATTTGTTGAAGTGGAATGCAAAGTCGGTAAGTACTCTCTGTAGCCTATTTTGGTTTCAAGTATTTCGTTTAACAGCACTGCTGCCTTTGCCCGCGCATCTGCTATTTTATTTCCTACTACACCACAGCGACGTGGAATCCACATGATTTTAATTTCGACCCCTTTTTATAGTAAACGGTGTGAGGTTTCAAAAATATTTATCATCACCGGATGATAAGAAGTATAATTTTTCAGTGCAGTGACCATCGACAAAGAAACAGTGCATATTACACATTTCGGGATACCTTTGCTTTCCACATATTTCATTTCCTGAGATATAGCCACGGCTACAGCAACAAACACTGAACACTTTCCTGACAGTTTAAATCGAACATAGCTTTCTTCGCGGACGTAAGCACCGCCCCACTCCCTCAGTAGTTTTTGAACCGTCCGTAAAAATATAAATAAAATCTGGGGTATCCATCCCTAGTTCACAAGTTATTTTGTATTTTGACGTACATTCAGAGAACTCTTATTTTCATTGGTGTGTTTTTTGGTTTCACATTTGCGTAGCTTCCAAGGTGGTATGGAACCTTCCTTTGTTTCTAAGTTATGAGGGAAGTCGAATTCTATCTCGTTACGCAGGCTTGCCATCCTTTCGTACAGTGGAAAAGAGAGATTCTTTTCATATATTATTTTTCCACTGGGTGTAAGGAAGCCGTTCCAGTGGTAAGCCTCTGACACGGATGATTGTCCTCGCCTCGTGTCTTCATGCAGTATCTTATTGTCAATTCATATTGTCGCAATCGAGGGGGAAGAATATCTGTTTCGACCTGTAATGGAAGGATAGGCGAAGTCCTCAACGCCCCCGTTGCTATACGTAAGCACACATTTTGAACACATGCTAATGACTCGATCGCTGTGTTATTTGGCCCATCTAGGATAGGGCATGCGTACTCTAAAATGGACCTGATCATTGCTTTGTAGATGCTTAGGAGGGTGATTCTATCAGCGCCGCATCCTCGGCCTGCCAGACATTTTAGAATTGATATTCGTTTTGAAGCCCTTGCCTTGGTGTACTCAATATGTTTGTTCAAGTTAAGTCTGGAGTCCAACATGACCCCGATAAATTTTACTTGTTCAGAGTAAGTCACAGGCTGATCATAAGTCTTGAGTTCCGGTATATTCCTTAATTCTCGCTCCTTCACAAACCATCTAAAAACAATGGCGCTGCAGACGAAAAAATAAAGCCGATTTGCCCGCCCAGGCACAAACACGATTCGGCGCTGTCTGCACTCCCTCGATTAATGGCATAATCCTTCTTCCTTGCACCCACATTGTACACTCGTCAGCATACAGCGCGTTGGAGATATTTCTGGGGGTATCATTGAAAATGTCGTTTATCATGATGTTGAACAGAATAGGGGATATCACCCCACCCTGCACAAGTCCATTTTCTTGTTCACATATGTTGGACAGTACACCGCATTTCCCCTGAAAGGTTCTCCCATCTAGATAAGACCTTAGGTAATGCATTACGTGTCCTCGGAAACCAAGTTGGTACATTTTCGTCAGGAGTGCCACCTTTGATGTCAGGTTCTATGCGTCCTTTAAATCAAGGGAGACCGCTAATGTGTATTTATGATGGAAAAAAACTCTTCTGACCTCAGACTCCAGTCGAATTAGGTGATCAGAGGTTCATCTTCCCGTCCTAAAAGCACATTGATACTCTGATTTCATATTGTTATCTTTGACGTACCATGAAAGCCTTTTGGCCGCCGTCCTTTCCATTAATTTGCTGAAACACAACGTCAGATGAATCGGTCTATATGATTCGGGTTTGTCGCCCGATTTGCCAGGTTTCATAATTGGAATAATAATGGAGTGTTTCCACTGGACCGGAAAGCTTTTCCAACACCATATAAAATTAAACATTTTCAAAACTTCCTCTAACTGATTGTCACTCATATGCTTGAAGAAAGCATAATGGATTTTATCTGGGCCTATCGAGGTGTTTCCACACAGGGTAATGAACTGTTGGTGCTCATCCATGGCGAAAACAGCGTTATATACCTCATTGTTGTCAGAAGAAAAGTTTGGCACTTCTTGTATCAGTTCATTTAAACGATTCCTAATCATCAGTCGGTAGTTCTGGGAAGCACAAGCATTGGAGTAATGTCTTCCTAAAACAATTGCTACCTCCTTAGGGTCATCAATAACATCGCCATCAATGTTCAAAACAGGTAGCGGCCTTTGTGACCTCTCTTTTTCGTAAATCTGCGTATAATACTCCGCAGCTGCTGTACAGCTGCATACATTCGTTGAATACATGCAAACGTTTTCCCACGAGCTCTTTTCGGCGTTACGAATAACCTGCCTGGCCTTTGCTATAGCTTGTTTGTATTCTATAAGGTGGACACTGTCGACTTCGTCTAAATCATCTGTTCATCTGACAACGAAACGACATGCGTCAAGCTTGTGACTAGAGGGCCATAATACCAAACAAACAGCACTTTCGCGGATACATTCGTCAAAAGGCCGAAATAAAAGAGAAAACTTTTGTGTTTCACAGTCAAATTATGTTTTCTACACGTTGTATGCATAAACCGACGTATTTTCTATCAGGTATTGCTGTCGTTATGAGCTAATACTTTGCACTGATACCCGAGTAGAACAATGTCCTATATCATACCGTTATAAGTCCTGTGCCGAGTGTGCTGCGACCTACGGGACCTACGAGCTTGGTTTCTTGCGTCTTTTTATCCTTTTACCTAGGGACTATGTTTGGCTTCTTGAAACGTCAACGATTGTGATCAGAGTCTTAACATCTTTATGGATTATCGCTCATTAAGGACGGTTTTCCTGGAAAATTCCTGTAGCTGCCACTAGGCACTAAACGCTAGAATGGGACCTGCAGGCTGTGCGGGTCAAAGTTGGCACTCGTTAGGCCAGAATGGACTCTTTACAGACCAGAATGGACCCTACAGGCCAGCGTGAGGACCTTATAGGCCATAAGGGGCTCTCGACAGGTCCGAATGGGCCGTCTTTAGGCCAGAGTGAGCTCTCCACAGTCAATACTGGGCAATCTACTAGTCAGCAGCCCCCCCCCCCCCCCTCCTCCCCCTCCCCCTCCCCCTCCCCGTCTACAAGTTTGAAAAGCCACTGCAAAAAGAAATTCGTAGGTTGCGGATTGTGCAGCGCATGGCTCAAACCAAAAGCAGTAAACTTTGCAGCAATTCTGAACAGCAACTTCTCGACATTGTTCATGCCAATGGCTCAGTTGGTTAGAGCGCCTGCTTTCCGGTCCACTCACGCGTGACAGGCTTGATTCGAGACTCTCTGCGACCCGCCAGTTGCCCTTGACAGGCATGGCATGCGGGCGGTGCCGGCGGCTGCGCTCCAAGCCAGGAGATGTCATAGGGCAGGATGGACCGTGCCGACCATCGCGACACGTAAAACTTTTGCCACTAAGTTATGCGTGCTGAACTATCACTGCGCGCTCGGATAATGGGCGCCCAGCACTCTTACAATGAGCAATGCTTAGCGTGAGCTCAAATCCTGGAAATCCAAACATTCCAAAAAATGGGATTAGATCTGTGAAAAAGTGACATGACATGACAC